TATAGCTACCAAGACGTACATGCATCAAGTTGGGTCTGCTGGGGGAGGGGAGCATTTAAATGATAAACGAGGAAGTCTACCTGCAAAAGCAGCAGCAGTGGTTTAAATAATCGCTATCTAGACTCCTTTTTCTTTGACAGCAACATAAAAAGTGTTTAGGGAGAAAGTCACACAAAGACCCGACGTTGTTTTGTCTTCAGCATTTCCTCTTCCTTGTTATCTGCAATTACTATCGTCAATTAATGAAATCGAGAAAGCAATTAAGTGACGGCACATTGAATATAGTCACTAGGTGCATTTCGCTGAGTGTTTACAAGATCTAGCGACACATTTTATCGCCACGCGTTCTAGTTTGATTAGTTTAGAAAATTAAACAGTACGTTACTCTGACGGCTCTCCGTCATTGCTATGAATCTGACATCGAATTTAGTCCAAAATATTAGTAAATTCAGAATTATTAGCTAAAACGTAAATTGCCCTAATTTGTCAGATAATCAAAAATGCTGGTGATCCACGCGGAGGGTACGCTTTCCTGAAGGTAGCGGCGACGAACGGCGACGATATTTTTCTGAATAGTGAACCTTTATTAGTTACGAAAAGCCCCCTTTTCAACAGGCGCGTTTTATTAATTACTTCATGTCACAAAGTTAATTTATACAGGCAAAACTTTATTCAAGGGAATAGTTTCACGAAATGAACGAGAGTAAAATATAAGTCGGCACAAATATAAGGCATACAACAATGAGTCATGTTATGGATCATGTTATGGGTCATGTCGGATTATAGTGGCATACCTTGATGCAAAACAGTCTATCGTTTCTTCCACCGCGAGTCCCTTTATTTAATGTAATGTATTACTCATTAACCGTTTCATTTGACACTCTCTTTTTATTTCCCTTCCCCTTTCTCTTGTTAGAAGGAGGGTAAATAATTAAGCACTCAAAATCTGCACCACCAATCTTCAGAAAAACATAAGTCAACGAACCAGTGGGCTGATCCACAACATCCGACACAGCAGAATGAATCAAATAACAGCTAGCACAAATTTATATGCAGTTAGCTATAGTGTCACTACATACATAATCAGCTGCACGCGCGAAGCTGTTGAACAAAAGGATAGTTCGCTACGGGAGACCGTTTGCTTACATAAGTACTCTAAGAGGGCGTGGCTACCCAGGCGACCAGGGGATTAGGCAAGTTACTATATGCCGTCAACAATCGTTTAGCGACCCTATCATTATACACTCTCTCTATTGTATTTTCCACCGCATTAATCGCTGTGTAATCTTCAAATGGTCCACGGGGTAAATGTACACATTCTTAATCCTAGTACGGTAATTAGTTAAAAAAATGAGACTATTAACATCCCTAAGACTTACATCTGAGACAGAAAAAAAAGCATAAATATATATAACTTTTGTAAAAATGGTTCGATTAAGCTGGTTGTTTTAAAACTCCACCTGTATTTAAGTAAGATTGTTCACTCCTGCACTCCTGTGAATTTCAAGACAATAAGCCAATTTAAAACCTTTGGACTGTGGAATTTATTTAAGCCATACAAGATACTAGATACTAGATACCAGATACTTATATGCATTATTGGGAATCCACGCTTCCCCAAATAAATAAATCACTCCATCAACCATAAAATAGCTTTAAACTACTCATTTCTTTAACTTTTCGGTCATAAATTTAACCTACTTGCCAGTATCTGACCTAATTATCTACACTCTTCATATACAACAGAGAAAGCTAGCAGCAAAATCTGTTCAAATATCATTTTTCGGTGAATATTAAGCAATGTCTTTTGGTAATTTCTTATTTATACTATTTGAAATTATCTGCTGGTATTAGGTTGGCTTTTGTGGCAAAAATTGACTTTGTATATGTATGCATCTTTAGAAGTCTTTGCCTTCCTATAAATTGTGATGGTGCTTTGTAAGTTAATGTTTCATGAAATCTTTCCTTAAATACTTTGTATTGTGGTTGAAGGAATCTGTGACGGAACAGATTTATATAAACAATACTTCAATATATATTGTATTTCTGGTCTTAAATTCCCCGTTGGTGTCTATTATTATTATTATTATTATTATTATTATTATTATAAAATTTTCTTTCTGCTTTCGTCATGATAGACGCAAACGCGGTGCTCTGTTCCTGCGCCAAACCTGATAACCTTCCCCTTTACCGGCACTACCAATGTTGTCTACCTATATTTTCCATTCAAGTTTCGATCTGCTGTCGGGACCCACATCATGTTAAACCAGGCATGGTT